CAAATGATTGGCTGTACTCGGGAGGGAAGTGTAGACAGACATAACTATAAACGTCACAGGACATGGACTTTTAAGAGATAAAAAAGGTTAAAGTAACGTTAATCTTCCAAATATAGTAGGTCACTTTTCATTCACAAGTCTGTTGGGCTGATCGACTTTCGTAAAGGTTACGAGTGTGTTCTGCTCTGTTTGCTTTTTGTTATGTCTTGCAATTAAGTTTTCATTCCGAGAAACAGAATACCTGTGACCTGGGGTTGGATCTGCAATGTCCTGTGATGGACACGCAACAAACCATTTTAACCTATCACAAGGTCTCTATTTACAGTAACGCTGCAGAAAAAAAAAACCACAACAACTATACTTTGAAAACGGTGCTGGTTCTGCGTAACGAAAGGAAACAATGGTTTTCGCTGCTACACAGGGTTACCCGCACCGCACCCACACAGGTGTGCAAGCAACACCAAGCTAGGATATCCGTTACTGGTAAAGTAAGTAAAAGGTAAAGGTCCCTTTTCCACGCCTTTAAGCGTATAGGGCATATAGGGCTAGACCTACATTTTTAAAGACCAATCGGCACAGGATGGGTAATGTGGTCAGCATCACGTCGGTCGCCTTTACTTCCCGGGACTGCATCCGGTACCCACTCAAGACTGGGTCGACCTGGGAGTCAAGGTCATTTTTGAAAAAAAAAAGGTCCGGCTCTGCCATTGAGCGAACCCACGCCCTTCCGATCCGCACGCCAGCGACTAGCCGCTACGCCACAGCGACTTCCAGCGGTTTCTGGTGCCGAAATTATAATCCCTTTGGGAGTAGAACGGCATATACCGGTGTCCACCTGTTAGCTTGTCAGTCAAGTTCAGATTCGTTAAGTCTCAGGGGCAATCATAATTTTATACTAACAGCCAGAAGGGAAAAAACAATGTTTGGTTGTATTTTCATCCGTTTCTCAAAAGACGGAAGAATTAATAAAGAAATCCAACAAGGATGCAGTAAAGCTAATCAAAGTTTTAGGCCAAGAAGAAGAAGAAGAAGAAGAAGAAGAAGAAGAAGAAGAAGAAGAAGAAGAAGAAGAAGAAGAAGAAGAAGAAGAAGATGAAAAAGAAGAAGAAGAAGAAGAAGAAGAAGAAGAAGAAGAAGAAGAAGAAGAAGAAGAAGAAGAAGAAGAAGAAGAAAAGCTATATGTAGTTAATGCCCTTTTGGAGCAAAACAACAGTGCGAACAAATCATTATACGGTGTGGAAAATATAGTGCAGCGGAGATTGACCTTGGTATCTGGCTGACACTAAACACTTAATAGAATGGTATGACGAACACATAGTAAAGCCGAAACTGGTACTCTGGAACTGAAACTCGTTAACGGCTGCTGAAGATGGGGATTTAGTGCTTATAGGAATTCTTCGAATGCTATAATGTCGACACAGCTCATCTCAACGCCGCTGAGATTTCTGGTCTTAGTTTGCATTATTCTTCTTATATGAGTATGTGGCTTAGTCATTGCGAACGCGCTTCGTAATGCCGAGGTGCCGGGTTCGATTTCAGCTGCGGACGGTTTGTCTTGCGTTGATTTCGACAGAGGGGTACAAAAAGCTAACAGTTCAGAAGCAATAGCAAACTAATGAACGTTAAATTTGCGAAGAAAAAACCATAACAGCAAAAAAAAAATTCTGGGGTTGGTTCTGCAACTTCTTGTAAAGGATACGCAACTAACTTGTTTTCTTAAATTAAGTTATGCGTTTAAAAAGAAGAACTAATTGCCCTGGTATATTATTTGCCTGCAGTAGAATTAAGTTACAATACAAAAATAGTGTTACGGACAAGACTACGTTAAGTCGATGGGTGTATTCAAGAGTGCTTTTTTTCGCCACTTAACAGCGCAGACAGAACTGTCTGCTCCCGTACACCGGTAGCTGCGGTTTCTTTTGGCAATTAGAGTTTCCTTCCTGTAGTATCTATCTCTGCTAGCCACGCTCTCCTGTCATTGTTTACCCTCCATATTTTTGGCGGTAAAGTGTGTACCAAAAAAAAAATTAAGATAAGAAAACTGCGCTTTCTGACCGCTGTGTTGTAAGTTTAACTTGACTAGCCACGCTGTTTTCTGTCATTTTGATCAGGACTACCAATGATGGGCCTATGTATTTCTTGGGTTTTTGTTCAGCTTAGCTGGGTTTTTCAAAAAATTCCTATTTGCAGCCCTGATTTTGATACCAGCAGTGTGTCGTCATTGTAATCTTTTTGTGTATGTTTACAAGTGAAAATATATAACACCTGGACTCTATAGTATCGTTTTTACAATTTTTACAACCAAAGGTACACATAGAAAACAATGGGGAGGAGGGTGGCCAACCCACCACCCCCACCCCCTCCCTTTTCTTTCATGTATGGGGGTGGGGTGACGGGTTTAGCCTTTGGGATCAGACGCTTCTATTTCCAGCCACAGTGAAGAACAGTAGTACTGGAAAAAAAATGTCTTTGATTACTTTTTCCCCATTTAGTAGCCTCCAATATAATCATCAGCATTATTACTTTTACTACTATTCCTGCTGTTGCTGCTGATACCTGTAATGCTACCAATGCTGCTTCCGCTGCTTTTATGACTACGGCTACTATTACGTTCACAGCTATACCTATTATTACTACTACTGCTACAAAGCCTGATTTTCTTTTCTTTTTTCTACTTCTGTTGCTGCTGCTACTACAGCTGCTGCTGCTGCTGCTGCTGCTGCTGCTGCTGCTGCTGCTGCTGCTACTACTACTAATGCGAATGTTCCTATTAATACGGTTACTTCAGTTTCTCAGATTCACATTCTGTTATCCTCTCTTCTCACTTTTATTTATTCTCCATATATGTGTATGTTTCTTCTGCTTTGTTAAATGTACGTTTCTCTACTTGATCTTGCATACTCAGTTTGTTGATCTTCATTTACAATTAATCTCTTCAAACCAGTGTACTCTTATTCATTATTGCCTAGCTTTGGTAGCTAAGAATTCCTGTTGCATCAGTAAGTCACCCACAGTGGACCAGTTCATTTTATATCCGTTTTGTAATGCCCCACAATAACCGAGTTATATAGCTCTACAGGTGGACCAGGTGTATTTATGCCTCTGATCCTCGTTCTTGAATTATACTTGAAATGTTAATCACACAGCCTACAATCCTGGGGAGAGGGGGTGGAGAACTATTTTTTAAACAATTTGCATAATATGGTGGCCAGTCTCACAATATCCGTTATTAGTTGCTGTTTAACACATACAAAATAGGTAACTAGAGTAGTAGCTTAGCAATGACTAGGGGCTAGTCTACATGATCAAAGTTCTTGGGTTGAAGTCCACATAAAGGCGGATTGTTATATGAGTGAGGTATGAGTAATGAGTTAAATTATCTTCACTGCACTCCGGACACATCCATAGGCGCTCAGATTTCCCTCTCAACATATTCATCAGCGTCGTGCGGTTAATAGTACCAGTCCTATGTTGGTTAACAAAGCTTCGTGTGCGTCCGGTGTGCTTCTCATGCTTGGTTGTGCCGATCTTTACTCCCAATTCGCGAATTCTTAGCAGAGATGTGGACACGTTGCTTCCAAAATCATCAAAACGTCCTGTCTCTCTAAGGGCAATAACAATTTCTGCGGGATCCATGGGCCGGCCATCTTCAATTAATGCAGCACCTGGGAGTCTATCAGCTCTCTCATTATCAACAACGCCTGCATGACCTGGGACGAATAGGAGAATTTTGCAACGACTCAAGCCACTGTCTGCGTAACCAGCCTGCCTTGACCCGCCGGATCATGCTCAAAGAATCACTCAGCACACACACGCGGGAATAATCATGTGATCCCAGCCACAGGAAAGACTGTGTCACCGCCATCACCTCCATCGTCATGTTGCTGGCGGTCATAGAGAAGGCACCGCTGGCTTTTTTAACTGTTCTGTCTAATGAGCGAGCTGTAAACGCCCATGGTATAACTAACCTGGTCTCCCAGGTTTAACTGGTTTAGAATGGGTAGCCGGAAATGTTATGGGAAGTGAAGACGACCTGACCTGAATGATGTTGACCATATGACGCATCAAGTATAGACCTAATTACGTAGACGACCCTCTTTTTTAAATGTTACCCTGGCTTTTAGAAGTTTGCCGGAGCGATCGCTAGACTTCCTGGTTTCCTTTCAGCTTTGTCTCATTCAAATCGTTTGTCACGGATTGCCGGATGTTGTCTTCTAGACGAACTCTGAGTCGTCCTGGATATCTGGTTCCCTGGTTCTTGACCTCCCATGGTTGCCGTGTTGCCGATTCTCTTCCTTTGTGGATACATGACCAAACCATCGTAACTGTGACGAATTCATTTGAGTTTGTAAGACCTTGGTCAACTATAGACTGGTGTATAAAAACATGTTGCGTCAATTATACATAAAGGATCCTTTTCTTTTGCATTGGTTACAACGTTTCGGGGACATTGTCATTCACAACAAATCAACAACGACAACAACACAAAGTTTTAACCTCGGAAATGAGATGTCTCAGAAAGGCTACAGGAATGACCAGAAGAGGTTAAATCAGGAATTAGTTTATAAGGGAAGAGGGGGGGGGGGGGTCGACACAGAACCAATTATAAATTACATACAAAGAAACAAATCAAATGTTTTTCCCACTTAGAGAGAATGTCATGTAACGCCATACAATATAAAGCATACCTGAAAAGAGAAGAAGAACGTAAAGCATAAGGTAGACCAAGTATAATACGGAAAGATAACATGAGAGAAACTCCCGAACAACAAGGCGTGTCTTTGGTCAAGGCGGTCAAAACAACACGAAGCAGAGCCTCATATCTCCCTCGACACAGCAAGCGGTAAAATAGTAAGTGAAGAAGAGGAAGACAGTGTTACTATTATGTTCGTGTGAGTCCTGCCCCTAGGCAGAAAAATCAGTCATTAACTTTATTTACAGGTCGTACTTTAATTTACATTTGAAAAAAAAAAAAAAAACACCAACAACAACAAACTCACCCATCAAAGCCAAGGGTTTGAAAGAATTGCAGTCTCCAATAATGACGTCATCAATGGCTATATCGCTGGTGTAACCGAATCCCACAGAGCCCTCAACTGTTATCTGACAAACCAATACAAATATTTCCATTGATTGGTTTTGTTTTGTTTTTCTTTACTAATATGCAGCAAGGTTTTATATGAATAAAAGGCAGTTATTATTTCTTCTTCTTTCTTCGTCCTTCTTCGTCCTTTTTCCTCCTTCCTCATTCCTCCTTCTTTCTTCTTCCTCCTTCTTCCTTTTTTCTTCTTCTACTTTTTCTTCTTCTTCTTCTTCTTTTTCTTCTTCTTCTTCTTCTTCTTCTTCTTCTTCTTCTTCTTCTTCTTCTTCTTCTTCTTCTTCTTCTTCTTCTTCTTCTTCTTCTTCTTCTTCTTCTTCTTCTCTTTCTTCTTCTTCCTTTCTTATTTCTTCTTCTTCTTCTTCTTCTTCTTCTTCTTCTTCTTCTTCTTCTTCTTCTTCTTTTTCTTCTTCTTCTTCTTCTTCTTCTTCTTCTTCTTCTTCTTCTTCTTCTTCTTCTTCTTCTTCTTCTTCTTCTTCTTCTTCTTCTACTTCTTCTTCTTCTTCTTCTTCTTCTTTTTCTTCTTCTTCTTCCCATTGTGAGATCTGGGTTTTTTTAATAGTTCTCTATGGTACTTAACAAAAACAAAGCCTATCCTCATTTTTTGTATTCGCAGATCCAGTTATGCCCTTTAGCGTCAGGTTTGGGGGATACAGCTAATGCAAGCTTTGACGTGTGCTACATTATCATCATTTGGCGTGATCGGCGGCATCTCTTTAATCTGCAATCTTCAACGCATTTACTTACTCCTGTCAATGCCCTGACAAAAGCTATCAAGAATCTTCTCGTGTTGTCTTTCTCGTCTCTTTTTTCACATAAATTTCTGGTGGTTATAATATGTTTTAGTTGCCTCTTTCTCGTTATGTGATTAAAAAAAATGATTACTGTTTGTTTCTGATGCTTTTGATAAGTTGTATTCGATCCCTCGCCTCTTTCAAAACATCAGGATGTGGGTGTGTGTGTGTGTGTGTGTGTGTGTGTGTGTCTGTTAGTTTTTTTCCCTTCAGATTTGTTTTTTCTCTGCAGATTTGCTTTGTCCCTCCAGATTTATTTTGTCTCTGCAGATTTGTTTGGTCCCTCCAGATTTTTGTCCCTTCAGATTTGTTTTGTCTCTGCAGATTTGTTTTGTCTCTGCAGATTTGTTTGGTCCCTCCAGATTCGTTTTGTCCCTTCAGATTTGTTTTGTCCCTTCAGATTTGTTTTGTCCCTTCAGATTTGTTTTGTCTCTGCAGATTTGTTTTGTCCCTTCAGATTTGTTTTGTCCCTTCAGATTTGTTTTGTCCCTTCAGATTTGTTTTGTCTATCAGATTTGTTTTGTCTCTGCAGATTTGTTTTGTCCCTTCAGATTTGTTTTGTCTCTGCAGATTTGTTTTGTCCCTTCAGATTTGTTTTGTCCCTCCAGATTTGTTTTTCCCTTCAGATTTGTTTTGTCTGTGCAGATTTGTTTGGTCCCCCCAGGTTTGTTTGGTCCCTCCAGGTTTGTTTAGTCCCTCTAGATTTGTTTTGTGCCTCCAGATTTGTTTGGTCCCTCCAGGTTTGTTTGGTCCCTCCAGATTTGTTTTGTCCCTCCAGATTTGTTTTGTTCCTTCAGATTTGTTTTGTCCCTCCAGATTTGTTTCTCTCTTCAGATTTGTTTTGTCTCTGCAGATTTGTTTGGTCCCTCCAGATTTGTTTTGTCCCTCCAGATTTGTTTTGTCCCTCCATATTTGTTTGGTCCCTCCAGGTTTGTTTGGTCCCTTCAGATTTGTTTTGTCCCTCTATATTTGTTTTATGCCTCCAGATTTATTTTGTCTCTCCAGATTTGTTTTGTCTCTCCAGATTGAAATTAATTTACACACTGCGAGCATTAGTAGAGAGATCACTGGAGGAATAAAAAGACACATATTTGTGCTTCATAGATTACACCAAAGCTTTTGATTAGGTGAAAAATGATCACATCATAAAATTGTTATAGGATATTAACACTGATGGAAAAGATCTTAGAATAATAAAAAAATATTTACTGGAAACAAGAAACAGCAATTAAACTGGGGAAATAAAGTAGGCAGTTAAGAAGAGATAAAGCAAGGAGTCAGACAAGGATGTGTTTTGTTGCCGGATTTTTTCGTTCTCTATAGTGAAAAAATAATGAGGTTGGTCAAGGATAGACCAGCAATACTTGTAGGTTATAATTGAAACAATCATCTTTTTGCAGATGATACATTGTTAATAGCTGAAAACGCAGAAGACCTGCAACTATTAGACATTGTGGTACTAAAGAGTACAAAAAGAGGACTTTTCTTGAATGTAAAGAAAACATAAGCAATTGTTATGTCAAAGCAGAAAAAGTGACATAGCAATTGAAGGGAAAATGTTAAGCCAAGTCAATAAACTCTAGTATTTGGGGACATTCATAGCATCATATGTATGCTGTGTGGTAGAAATTAAGAGCAGAATTTGCCAGACAAAGGCAGCATTTCAAAAGATGAAAAGTATCTTATTTAATACAACACTCTCATTAAATATCAGAAAACAAGTACTGAAATGTTATATTGAGCCTGTTCTGTTATATGATAGTGAATCTTGAAATGTGAGCAAACAAATTAAGTGAAGTTCATACTAGAGACAAAATTGTAGATATAGAAAACTTTACGGAAACTGTAGCGAAATCAGTGAAATCCCAACCAGGATACAAACCTGGCAGAAAACTGTTTGTGCAAGCAATCAAATCTTAATGTAAATTAGGGATTGGAAATTAAACTTGTTTACTGTTGACGACATACCTGTTATTACAACTTAATATAATTACCACATTTGACTACTAATTAAGGTCATAATGAGAGCGAACAAATTAAGAAACATTTGGAGACAAGTGAGATATGGTTCTTGATGAGAATATTGCGAATACCTTGGACTGCCAGAATAACTAACAACGATTGCCTGGAAATAGCTAATGAAAGTAGAACATTTTATACAATAATGAAAAGGAGACAGAGTTCTTTGGTCATATGATGAGAAGAGGAGCAATGGAAAATATCGTGACGGCTAGAAAAATCACTGGTGGAAGAGGCAGAGGCAGACCAAGAGGAACTATGGTGGATAGCTTAAGACAACGGCGTGGAGGAAAATGATCAGCAAAATTGATCCGAGAACTAAAGACCGAGATCTTGGGGGATTATTGAACGCCTGACTGACTGACTTTCTACCCCACCAGGACATCACACAAGCGATAAACACCAGTTGACACAATGTGCCACCATGTGGGTGAGAATCACCGTGGAGAGGTCCCAGAAACGGCGGTCAGCCAATTGGCCATATATATGGCCAGGCTGTATTGCGGCCCCTGGCAAGAGCCAGGGTGGGGCTTCATATAACGAAAAATTTTGACCTAAAAGGACGGCAAGTTATAATTGAGCGAGTGAACTGACTGACTGACTTTCTACCCCACCAGGACATCACACACGCGATAAACACCCGATGACACAAAGTGCCACCATGTGGATAAGGATCACCGTGGAGAGGTCCCAGAAACCGCCTTCAGACAATTGGCCATATTTATGGCCTGCCTATATTGCAGTTTTAAAGTTAGCGATTGAACTGAACTGAACTGAATTTCTACCCCACCAGGACATCACACAAGCGATAAACACCCAATGACACAAAGTGCCACCATGTGGATGAGGATCGCCGTGGAGAGGTCCCAGAAACCGCGTTCAGGCATTTGGCCATATATATGGCCTGCTTATATTGCGGCCCCTGGCAAAAGCCAGAGTAGGGCTTCAAATGACAAAAAATTTCGTCCTAAAAAGGACGAAATTGGATATAATTAAGAACGAGTGAACTGACTGACTGAATTTCTACCCCACCAGGACATCACACAAGCGATAAACACCCAATGACACAAAGTGCCACCATGCGGATGAGGATCACCATGGAGAGGTCCCAGAAACCGCGTTCAGACATTTGGCCATAATGATGACCTGCCTATATTGCGGCCCCTGGCAAAAGCCAGAGTGGGGCTTCAAATAAAAAAAAAATTACGTCCTAAGAAGGACGTAAGGAATATATTATTATATATACGAGTGAACTACGCCAGCTGGCAAGGCAATTGATGACGATGATGATAGAATTTGTATTCTGCACGATTAAATATCTCAAGGATAAGAATAAAGCAGATAAAAAGACTTTGAAGATAGCACCCGTGCGCTTCACCTTAAACTCAAATCTCGCTGGAATTGCGGAGTTCGTGCACTCGATCTTAGAGCCGACACAGAAGAATTTTTTTTTTTTTTTTTAAATAAAACACAGAAGTTACTTACTGTAAAAGGGCGGTTATCCGCTTGCAGTACCAGGAAGATTTGCTTCCATTGTTGCCCTTGGTTTCCAATTATGGCTGTAAGAAAATTGCTCTCCAGTGAGTTGTACGATCCTGAGGTGTTCATAAACACTGATAGGTTACCCATAGCCAATCCGTACATGTACGTGAAAAACCTGCAACATACAGTTACAACCTGGTCATGGTCGTTTACATATGGCATTTTAAAAATCATAGCATTTTCCATCTTACCAGCTTATAAGTGTTTAGTTTTGCTATAGAGAGGCAGGGTAATCTTAGCTAATGTCTTAGTTAAGCAATGGTCATGTCCTAATGTTGGACGCAATTATGTGCTGTTTTAAAGCCCTACCCTGACTGTTGTCGTAGGCCCTAAAAAAAAAACATATGGGTTGAACAGGGTTTCTTAGATCTGTCTCCGGGAAATCTTCATCCGGGTGTTTTTCACTCTGTGTGTTGTCTTGGTGGGGTTGAACGTCATCATCATCAGCCAGAGGCTTGTGACTAATAAGACTAGGTTATTTGTTTGCGCTAAAAAATAGATCGCAATTTTGCCTTATTTTAAAAGCCCCATCTCGGCTGTAGAGGGG